CAACGGGAGACCCCAGGAGCTCCAGGGAGGCGGCCAGGCCAGGCCCTCCTTTCCAGGCCCGTTTCCACTCTCGGAGCCCTCCAGGCTGGGGCACCAAGGCTCTTTGGCAAAGCGGTGCCAGGCGTCTCCCAAGGCCCTTCTCTTCCTTGGGCATCAACTCATCGGCACGGCTTCCCTGAGCCTCGGTGGTTTTGACCGGCCTTGCCCTGCCTGGCCGAAATGGAACCGGATTTGGTGTGACGCTGGGAGAAGAGCCCCTGCCCCGTGTCAGCACCGGGGAGGGAAAGGTTCCCCTTGCTGCGGTTGCGATGCTGATGTGCCAGCCACTAAACACATTGTGCCAGGTTGCCCACAGCCGCGTCCCCTGGTTTCCTGGGAGATCTGCACGAAGGCCGAGGCCGAGGCCTGGAGAGCTGGACATCCAGGCGTGAGGCCACTGCTGTGCCCCCAGAGACCTTTCACATAGCATGAGGTGGGTCGTGTGGATCTGTTTACGTCTCTTCTGCCTCGTGCTCACCCTAGACTAAATAAAGAGTCATGAATAATGGCCCCAGGAGAACGCAGGGCACTTGCAAAAGGACGGGCTCCCTCTAGGTGGCCTGGGCTCTGCAGGGCCCCCAGGATGGGTTGGGTGGACTGGCCACTCCCTGGAGGCAGGTGGGAGCCTCCTGGGAAGCAGAGAAGCAGAACCGCCTGGGCCTCCAGCAACTGGCTGGGATTCCCTGGGGAGCAAACTCCCTCAGGGTAAGAGAGCCAGGGGGTTCTCCACCCCCCCTTCTAAAATAAAACCCCATGCATCCTCGCGGGGGGGGGGGAGGAGGGCAGCGGCCAGCTTCCTCCTGGACTCTCCCAGGGTCTCTTTTCCATCCCTAACCAGCTCTGGACTCCAGGAACCGCCCGAGTTAGTCACCCCTTCAAGGAGGCTGGACTCTCCCCACTTGAAGCCTTGAGGCTGGTGGGGGCCCTCCCGGTTTTCAGAGCTTGGGTCCTACAAAGGAGCAAGTCCTCAAGATGGTCGACCAGGGAGTCGTAGAAAAGGTGAGGAAAAATGAGAAAACACCATCGCAGGAGGAAATTATTAAGAAAATATTGGAGTGTGCTGAAATGAGTAGATTGACGTTTGAAATTAGAGAACAAGAGGATAAACAGTTTTATAAAACTTGGCATCTATTCTATCAATGGTTAGACAATAAAACATGGTAATGAAATATGTAGATTCTTAGAAAATAAACATATAAAGATGTATTCTTATTATATCTACAAAATGATTGTAGGATACATTTGAGATGATAATATGAACTGTCATAAAACAAATTAAGTAAAATACGGATTATTTCGTGAAACATGAATGAATAAAAGTATAGTCAAATGATTAACAATGATATTAATGTACTTAATATTTGACTGAAAATATGAGAATATATACAATGTAATTGTAATTGAAGACTACGAAATGGAAGCACAAAAGAATTTGTAAACCAACCAACACACTGTATGTATATATATATGAAAGATGGCTTGATGTTTTTACGTTTTGTCTGTCTGTGTTTGTTTTAAAAACCAATAAAAAAAATTTAAAAAAAAAGAAAGGAAGAAAAGGTGAGGAATTTCCCAATTAAATTTCCCTCCTGGAAATGTCTGAGCTTCCAACGTGCAGACTCGGTTCCACAGGGAACGAGGTGGCCTTTTTCGTGCCAGGGACCCCTTCTCCCCACCCCAATCCCTCTGGTAGGTGACCCCCCCCCTCCTCCCCCCGTCTGCCTTGGAAGGCTCTCCACAGCCCTCTTGCGGAGCAGCCCCGCCGGGCCCAGGGCCCCCGGAGAGGCCTCAAAGAACAGGCCGGCTTCTGGGGAAGGGCCATCACCAAGGCCCCCCCCCCGAGGGACCTCCTGGGGGAGAGACCCGGGACGAAGGGCAGCTGAGCCCACAGCAGGAAGTTGGGATGGGCAAAGCAAGTCAGAAGGAGGGACCCTGCCTGGTTTCTTCCCCTGGCCTGGCACCTCCCCGCTTTCCCCCTCTGGAGCCTTTTCTCCGGTTTGGGCTCTTCTGCAAGCCCCCCCTCCCCACTGGGGACCCTTCCTCTGGCTAGGAGAGGGACCCCCAAGTGAATGGGGAGGGGGGGAGGCCCTTGGCCAACGGTGCAAGGCTGGAGGAGGGGAGGCCCGACTTTGCCATCCTTTGGGAGGCCAGCCACTCACTCTCCTTCTTGCGCCAAGGGGGGGGGCAGCCCGAGGTTCCCTGGGGAGAGAGGCAGGCGGTGGGGGGTGTTGGGGCACCTGGCGGATGGCCGCTTTGGGGGAGCCAAGGATTGGCCCCCAATGGGGCTTCTCTCCCCCAAGAGGAGGGGGAGAGGCAAAGGCTGGTCCGGGGGCAGGGAGGGGGCATGACTCGGCAGATCTGCCCAGGCTCCTCTTCTGCTGAGTCAGAGCTGAGTCAGGCCTGCCTCCTCCGATAGGCTTGGGCAGAGGAGGAGCTCCTTGGCGGCGATAAAGGGGCAGCTGGCAGGCTGGAGGCTGCCGAGGACAGACCCTGTTGCCAAGGGCGGCCACAAACCTGCCCAGTCAAGCACCCCTTCCCCATGGGGCAGCCTCAAAGGGGGAGGGGAGGGCAAGGCTGACTATCCATAGAAAAGACGGTATGGAGCTCAGGGCTGAACTCGGGGGCTCCTGGGGGCTCTCTGAGCTGGGCGGTTTTCTTGCAGACGTTTCACGACTCAACTAGGGAACGTCATCAGTGCTAGAAGGGGATGAGTTTGCAGGGAGGGAGGGGGAGGAGGAGGGTGGGTCCTTGGTGCTGTGTGAGGTTGGTGGTTTTCTTGCAGACGTTTCATGACCCAACTAGGGAACGTCATCACTGGTAGCTACATTGGGTTCATGTTGGTGTGAAGGATCTTGGTTTGGTTTTGTGACTTAGCACCTGGGGTGGACTTAGCCTGGTCGAGCTTGACCAGTGGATGTCTTGGCTGAGCCCAGGAAATGGGTCGTGCGGAGGCCCTGCCCACCCCCCATGTCTGGGGGCCTCCGGCAGCGCAAGAAGGGATGATGAGTTATAGGGTTGGGGGGTGGGATTTTGTCCCATCTTTGGTTGCATTATCCTGGACATGAAAGTCCTGCCTTCTGCCCTTCCCTGGTGCTTCCAAAATGACATGGGTGTGTGTGTGTGTGTTTGCTTAAGACGCCCTACAGCAGAATCGGTTTCTTTGAGATACGCGGCCTGTTCTCTGAATCCTGTTCACCAGCCGAAGTATCTTCACGTTTCCCATCCCACGTAAAACCGTGGAAGGAACCCTGGCGCTTGCTTAGCCCAGCCCTACCTGCAGAATCAGGACTTCCGAATCCCGACTCACTTACCCGGCACTGGGCGGAAGTGGCATTTGCCCACAGCACACAAACTCACCACCGACCGACCAACCGCAAGGGAGGTATTGAAACGGACTTCAAGTGTTTCACCTTTCTTGGGTAAAAAGGACTTTCTGGTTTAAAAAAAAAAAGCCTTTTAAAGAACCTGATCAATTTGACTGAAAATGATCCAGGAGAGAAGCAACCTGGGCTTAAGGAGAAATTTCCCGACAGTTACAGCAGTTCACGGGTCTCCACCCCTGAAGGGTTTGGAAGAAGAGACTGCCCAGCCATGATCTGGAATGGTCCAGGTGCTCCTGCTTGAGCAGGGGGTGGACTAGGCGGCCTCCAAGGCCCCTCCCTTGGTGGGATGGTGTTATAAGTGGTTGGGTCCATGAGGGAAAAGGTTCGGGAAGGGCCACACTTGGACAACCCAGCCCACTGCTGGGAGGCTCCCAACTCACCGCTGCTCAGGCCGCAGGCTGACAGCTTCCCCAGCCAGGAAATTCCTTTTTATATCCCACCTTTATTCTTTTTATAAATAACTCAAGGCAGCAGAGAGACGCAGTTCTCCCCCCCC